GATAAGGTCCTAAAAAGAGAGTTGGTCTCGGGAATAGTAGTCGAATTCTGAGTCACGGGTACGAAAGATGATAGGGTCTGGAGTAGCGTGCCGTTTTCTGAACTCGGATTGTAGTCTTCCTATATTAATCCCCGATGATCGCGATCCGCCGGGTCTTTGTCGGGAGGGCTCTGTCCGTCAGTCCCCTGTGGTTGAGGTCATAGCACCCTCGTTGGTCTCCACATGGTGGTTGTTGTCATTGTTGTCGACATTCAACCCTCGATCACGATTTCCCAACGGGTCACAGGTTCGTTATAGTCGAAACGGTTCACGGAACCCTTGCTATGCATGGAGGATAGATTACCGCTGGTTCCGCCTCTGAGTCTTCTCATAACCATTCACCATTCCTCGAGTTCGGATTAGGAAAGTAAGGGTCGTCCGGCAAGTAGGATTTTGCTATGCTGTATTTGCGAGAATAGGAGTGGAGGAGATAAGTACTATGCATCTAACTCTATTATCAATGACTTATAGGGGTAATCCTTATTAGTTACTTCTATAATGACATAGTGCATACTAATTACATATAACAAGATACGATAGACCTTTGAATAAGTGATCCCACTCTAGGTCCACATCCAAAAAAGGAAAAGGAAGTAAAGTAATGACCACAAATTCTAAGTCTATAATTTCTAAGTTATATATAACCTTAAAGTATCCACTTAGGGACTATAGACCTATTATTAAGGATCTATTTAGTTTTCATATAAGTTATGATATTACAAAATACTCCTATAGTATTTTAAACTCATGTTCTGTTCTAATGTTCTCGTTGTGGTAGTGTTGGTAAGTTTTTAGACTTGTTGCCATATCACAACTATTCTTGGGCATGTGCTAATCACTCCTCGGACCAGCATAGTTGATCAGGCTATGCCACTCCCAAGACTGACCATACATCCCCGAGCTTACCTGTGATATCCAACAATCATTACTTTTGTTTTGTTCTAGAATGGTGCTGACCTTAGTATGTATGTATGCATGTATACTTTTAATAAGAAACTATTTATTTCTAAAAGTATAGTTGTTTTGAAACTTTAAATCAGAGACTTAGTCCCAATGCATTTATAGTTTGTATATCTTATGTGGTTTGATATACTGAGTTCACTATAAACAATGCTCTGATACCAATCTGTCACACCCCCAAACCAAGGATGGCGGAAACGTCCGGGGGTGGAGGACTTCATGTAGAGTATCACAACAATGAGTATAATAGTGCTCAAAGTAAATACAACCATCACAAATATAATTGAAAACGTTACATCAAAGCACATGTTTACATGATTCACATCAATTACATTATGATACAAAATGAACTGTTTGACGATTTATCGTCCCATCCTCAAAACGTTGTTGATTTCCTGTTTTCACTGAATTCCTGAGAATACAAGTAGTTTTGAAAAGTGTCAACACAAAGGTTGGTGAGTTCATAAGAGATTTCGTTAGAAAAGTAAACCGTTTTCCTTGTAAAAGCGTTAGAATATGTATCCAGAAAATCCGATATTTTCTTTAAAATCTGTGTAATGTAGTCTTATGACCGAAGACCAAAATGTATAAGTAACCTTTCTTACTAATAGAAAATGTTATGTGTTTAAATGGACATGGACGCGTTTGAATTAAATGAAATTTCCGTATGTTCTCATGTTTGTTAATACTTTATGTATATGTAGTCCTAAATCCGAGGACCGAAAAAACAAGTATTGACCATACTTAAAGGTATAAATGTGGTTTCAAATGATGTGTAGTCATAACTACCAAAACCAAAAGTGTACAGTAATATCTGTACTCATTGAGATAAAAAGTGATTTTAAATCGACATAAAACTCATTTAGGTTTTATAAATAAAATCCCGTAAACTTTATGGATTGTTATATCCCTATGTGAGTCGCTATAATCATACTATGACTATGTGAACCTGCCACGACGTTTCTCAGGCGTCGCGAAAACTGAAATGACATTTGTCACCCGTAGACCTGCAGGTCCCACTGTAGCTAGCAGCAAGGTGTGGGGTGTCAAACCCAATATAGATCTATATACAAGTATCACGTTCTCCCTCCAGGAGATTCTGATTATAACTACCAGGAATTATATCCCGCACTCGGACGTACGGGGAGAGAATGTCTCACAATATAGGTTAACAAGTTTACGTGAAATGTGTGTGAATATAAATCTTTTCTGTATGAACGTACCCTTTTTACGAGTGTGTTGTGTGATGTATCATAAACTATACCTATTATAGTTTATCTAAAACGTTTGTAATATGTAAGAACTCTTTTATGGAAATGTAAATGTTATGAATCCATTAAACTATACTTTTTATAGTTTATTATACGTGTTCTAAAATGAATGTATAATATTTATTATGAATGACTTAGTTTCAGTTCATGATGATAAACTAACAAAGAAACACATTCAATAATTAGAACTTATGATTATACACTTTGCTCAACATAATACAAAGTGTTATGATATTTATATGCTGTTGGCTAACTTTAGCCATTCTGCACTGTTTTGGAAAAATCATACGAAGTCGAAAACTAGATCCGTAAATTCTGAGAGTTCACAAAATGTGTCTAGTTTACTCATAATTTTTATCACGATTTTTAATGACCTCCAACTTGGGTGAAAAAGTCCAAAATCACAGACTGGTCCGGATTGTTGTTTGAAATGATAGGCAGTTTTGTAAAAATCACCATAAATTGTAGAAAAATCGTATGGAGATGTGCAAGTAGTCATTTTAAAGCTAAAAACTTGAACTATTTGCACCTTGTACAGTTTTGAAAACAAAAATGTTTAAGATGCCCAAAACAGTCCGTGAATGGAGTTGAACTTTTCTGATGAAGGCTGTTAGAAAATTTTAGTTATGTTCTTGGTGTTTTAACTTGTATTCCCCCCCCCCCTAAAAACTTGAGAAAACATGAAAATGTAGGGGTATGAACTCACCTTGAGTGATTTCAGTAGATAAGTGTTGAAGAAGAGAAGTGTTCAACCCAAGAACACTTGAAGAATCACTTGAAGATTCGAAGCTCTAACACAATTATGATGGAGTTTGTGTAAGATATCCATGATTTGAGTATAAGAAGTGAATAATCATAAGGAGAATGGATTATGCTTACCAAATGTGGAGGAAAAACCCAAGATCAGCCCTTGAATCTCGAATTTCTAGAGAGAGAAAGTGAGAGAGGAAAGAGTTTGATCTTCTTGGTGAAATGAGAGCAAATGAGAGAAGTGAGGAGAGAGGATGAATATTCAGCTCTCAAAAACGTGGGAAAGAGTGATAATTGAGTGGAAAGGACATTGATGTGACCTAGGTAAGGTGGGGAGGTGTGGCTGGTCATAGAGTGGGTGTGGGAGTGGTTGCTTGTGTCATAAGGTAAAGCAAAGTCAACACTCCACCTCTTTGTACTTTACCCACTTGCTTTTATTATTTAAATAAAGATTTTTATGAAAATATGATTAAATTGTGAATATTTAGGGTTTATTATGTTAAAATATGATTTTGGGTGAAAATCCCGCGTTAAAATAATTAAAAACGGGCCTTAAACGCAAAACTACGCGAAAACCGGGAGAAAATGGGTTCCCAGCGAGACCTCTCGGTCCTAGGCCGAGGTTCGGTCCATGCTGAGGACGGTAGCCGGAAACGAAGCGAAATAGGGGGAAACGAAGGGGGGCGAGGAGGCGAGAGGAGGCGAGGAAGCGAGAGGAGGCTCGGTCCGGAGATGAGAGGCGAAGGTGTCAGAACCGAAATGAGCTGAATGAACAGTAGATGAACAATACCTTCGGGTTCGGGTGTTTCTGCGAGGTTCGGGCCTGCAAGGATCTTTCGGGTTCGGTTCCTCCTGGGCGAGGTTCGGCCCTGAGAGGACCTTCGGCTCAGGAGGGTTCGGTTCCTCCTTGGTCTCCGGTTCGGCTCCTCCTTGCTCTCAGTCCCTAAGAGGACCTACGGGTCCTAAGAGGCTTCTCTCTTCTTAAGAGGTTTCGGTTCCTAAGGTCCATTTTTCTCGTTTTTACCCGTTTTAAGCCGTTTTTGACCCGGTTAAGGGTCGGAATGACCCGAATGATTCTAAAAAGTTACAGGAAACTTTTGAGAGAGATTTGGGAGAGATTTCACATACTTGGAGAGATTTGGGAGATATTTGACATTCTTGGAGAGATTTCTCATACAAAGAGATATTTGAGAGAGATTTCACATACTTGGAGAGATTTGGGAGAGATTTGACATTCTTGGAGAGATTTCTCATACAGAGAGATATTTGAGAGAGATTTCACATACTTGGAGAGATTTGGGAGAGATTTCACATACTTAGAGAGATTTCTCATACAAAGAGAGTTTTGGGAGAGGTTTCACATACTTAGAGAGATTTGGGAGAGATTTCTCATACAAAGAGAGTTTTGGGAGAGGTTTCACATACTTAGAGAGATTTCAAATAGAGAGAGATAGAGTGATTTCTCATACAAAGAGATATTTGAGAGAGATTTCACATACTTGGAGAGATTTGGGAGAGATTTGACATTCTTGGAGAGATTTCTCATACAAAGAGATATTTGAGAGAGATTTCACATACTTGGAGAGATTTGGGAGAGATTTGACATTCTTGGAGAGATTTCTCATACAAAGAGATATTTGAGAGAGATTTCACATACTTGAAGAGATTTGGGAGAGATTTGACATTCTTGGAGAGATTTCTCATACAGAGAGATATTTGAGGGAGATTTCACATACTTGGAGAGATTTGGGAGAGATTTCACATACTTAGAGAGATTTCTCATACAAAGAGAGTTTTGGGAGAGGTTTCACATACTTAGAGAGATTTGGGAGAGATTTCACATACTTAGAGAGATTTCTCATACAAAGAGAGTTTTGGGAGAGGTTTCACATACTTAGAGAGATTTCAAATAGAGAGAGATAGAGTGAAAACGATTGAGAGAGGTTTCGAGTGTGGCATTTGTGAGTGTCCGGCTTCGCAATGCAAGGTTCGTAAACCTTGTTAAGCCTTGTTTAAGGATCTTACACACTCCCGATGAGTATGCAACATTGTTTTATCGGTTTGGCTCGCCATGTACCACAGTTTTAGGTTAAGGATATCTAGATGTTCGCACTTTTTGATTTATGATCTCTCATTAGAATAGCGAGTAGTTTAGTATTCACCTAACATAAACTATAGTACCCACGTGCAAAATGAGTCGAACGGTTTGACTTGTTGACTTCGGTTGACTTTGTCTTGACCGGAAATTGACGGTTGTCACAAATCACTCCGGAAAAAACATTTATAGCGATTGGGTTTGCGGCCGGAAATGGATTCTCGGCGGTAAACAGGTTTACAGCCCAGAGGTTCGCCGTCCAAGGGTTTACGACCCAAGGGGTTTACGGCCGTGAACGTGTGGTTGGACGAGTTTCGCTGATTTTTCAAGGCAAATCGTGATTTTTTGAGTGTTTTTGGTTCTTAAAACTTATATAACCTCTAATTATATATTTTAGATTATTTTCTAATCCACAGGAACTTAACGTAACAAATAAAATTCGAATTTTTATTTAACGGAATTGTCAGGTTGTCATATTAAATCCATTCTCTTTAGTTATGTCAACTTATTTCTTCTTTCATTTTTCCACCATCGTCTAAATCGTTTTTTTATCAAGTGTTGTTTGGTTTGAAGGCTTTCATTCGCATCTCGGATTAACTGTGATCTCCATCTTCCCACATTAAAGTCACTTTAAAGTCACCATATTGAAGAAGTTCTTGAATTGGGAGTTCTGTGTTTTAGCTTCTTCATGTTATAATTCTGGATTTGAGGTATTTTGAATTTCTTCATCTATCACCAAGCTTCACAAACCTTCTTAGTGAAAATAAAAACTTATTTGGGCTTATTTGATTGTTTTTGTTGTTAATAATGGGCAGATTTGAAGATGCACATCAAGTGATTGATGAAATGCTTCAAAGAACCAGTAAGCTTAATTCCACTCCATCATCGATTTCATAAGCTTCTTATTCACACATTTTTGCTAATGATGTAGATATTTTAGTTTTTATGATCTAAAAAGAGGTTTTGATCGCCAATTTTAAGGACTTTGCTTTGAACTTTGACTATTGGTTTGTATCGGTTCTTACAAATTATTTATAAATCGACATCAATATTTGTAAAGTTTTTGATATAAAATACAACTTTTTTACGATGGCTCTCATAATATATATTATTCACATATTAATATATTAATATGTTGTATATCTTATTTTTATTAGAATACATCTTGATGAAACGTTATCTAGGAGATAACATAACAATAAATAGATTTAAAAAAACATCTCAAATGAAGGTGTTTGAATGATTGATGGGGTAATATAAACTAAATATCAAAAAATAAATAAGAATTGGTTTGAATAAAAAGAAAGACAACAAAATTTGATTTAATCACATAGATATACATATGATACCTACAGACTGCATAGAACGACCGCAAAACCATGTTCTCACATGCTGATTCTGAAAGTTAACAGGAGCAGTTTGTAGAGTTAACCAAACATGAGTGATGATTTTACAAAAAAAAAAAAAAAAAAAAAAAAAAAAAAAAAAAAAAAAAAGTATTAGTTGTGGTTCGATATTTGCACATAGGCTTCATGGTTGAACCATATTGGCTTAATCTAGAAATTGACCAATGGTCGGTGCATAGCACATCGCCACATGGTCCCGAGCTTAAATGTTTTTCATCAACATCCACTAATAGCCAACTTAAACCCAATTTCATCAGACACTGAAGTATTGCTTAACCATTTAGACTTTGTTGCACCTGTGGTTTTAATACATATTAAGTGTCTGATGTAAAGCCTTATTTTTAAAGATGCTTTTGTCCATTGTTTCCTATTCTCTTGCTTTTCTAGATTTTTTTCTTCTTCTTTGTATTTGTGATGTTGTTTGTACATCCGTTAAAAAGATGTTAGTAGCACAATAGCTGGGGAGTTGGTAATTGTAAGATTTTTCTTCTTTCATACATAAGGACTAAAAAGGTTACATCTCTTTTCCCTTTCAGAATCTAAAAGGGTATTTCACAAGATTACATCGTTGATTGATGAAAGTTATTAGACCCTATAGATAGTTACACATCAAAGACAACACAGGTAGTCACCTCTTGATGCAAGAAAAAAAGATTCTTGATCCTTTTGTATTGGCTCTTTTTGGCTGACTTCAATTTGGACTTGCCGGGTTCATATATACATGGTTTTTAGAGGATAAATTAGTAAAAAAAAAAAAACATTATATTTGGATAAATTGGCAATTTAACTAATAATACTTTATTTATTATATTCAAACTATAAAAGTTTCAGCATTTTCAAACTATCCATAAATTGTCTGAAATATAATGTTTTTTTTTGGTAATTTCGCTTTATGCTTTATGTCAAAGGTGTAGCGGGTAGAGTTGAGCCACATAATCAGGTTTCTAAAATTTAACCATTTCACAACTATTGTAAAATTAAATTACAAATATTAAGTTTTATGTTTTTTACTTTTTTCCTTGATAGGCCCAAGCCAGGATACACTACTTCAAATCTTTTGAAAATGAACGGTTGTAAGGTTTTCTTGATCACTATAAACTTTTTCCTGTTATCGAGAGGTAATAATACCATTTAGCTAACAATTGTTTGTGGGTTTTCATCAACATTCCGGCTCTCCTTATGGCTTTGCTATAGCAGGACCGGACACAAGGGGAGGCGAGGTAGTGAAGTATAAAATGCCCTAAATCAAACACACTCCAAAACCATATTTGTTATTGTTTAATGGTGCAAGTATAAAATTTAGTGACTTTGTTGTACAACAATTATTGTGCAGCTATTTGATTACTTCTTCGGGTTTCTTCATCTTTGTTAACACACTTGCCAAATTTAACTTCCTATACAGAGGTCTCTTTGTAAGCCTCTAACTACACCTTGGAATTAAATAAAACTCTCCCTTTGGGATTTCTTGATTATTTCGTTCTTTATTTCCATTATGAGTCGTTAGTTCAATACGTCCGAAGAGATGTACAACAGTTTTATAAATGAAGAAAGATTATTATCAACTGCCTAGATACAGTCTGTATTTGTTATAAAAGAGACCACTAATAGCTAGTTAAGATCCAAGACATTGTAAAACATTAATCTCTTTTTTTTTAGAAAAAAAAAAGTAATACAACATCACAATATTCTTTGCTTATATTCTCTATTTTATGATTTTATGTCAACTCTCGCAGTAAAGTTAAGTTAGCAGCATACCGTAGTAGTTAAATTCACACACATTTGTATAGATATTCAACCATAGGCTCTCCAATTTACATGAATGACAATAAAATTTGTAACTTACAACAGCTTTCGGCGTTGTTGATAATAAAATGAAGACAAAATTTAAAGCGGTGTGTTTTCGTATTTGTGAAGATGTTAGTTAGATCCGACGTATTATTTGTATATAAACTGATTTGATGAGACTATAGGAAGCAAGAATAACAGACAGTATTCCCAAAGCAAAGAAGGTAAGTAACATCTAAAGAGGTGATTTATATAGGTGTTGGGAGAAGTCAAACTCCAGTGATATTATCCAAAGAGATAACAGCACTGGATCCGGACTGGTATGGCACTTGAGTATGTGAACGGAAAATATACAAGACCCAAACGTGGAGGCATAAAAGGTAAAAGAAAGAGCATGTTCTTGCCATTGGATTTCTTCTTAGAAATGTAGCACCTGTGGAAAATATGGAGTCCAACTGTCGGACCAATGAGCCTATTTGATTTTGCCCCTTTCGGAACCTGTCTTGAAATAAGGGTTTTAAGCCTGATTCTAAATCCTTGGTTAGAAGATGTTCGGTGAGTTTTGTAGATGATTTGCTCTCCTCTAACGACCTTGAAACCGCCTTTAAAATAATTCAAAAATTAGGTTGCTATTTAGCCTTATAAGAAGAGATGGTGTGGTGGTTAAGGAGATATCTCGTGTACCTCGATCCTAAACATTAGCATCGCCTTCTCGGATGACAGTGCCTCAACCTAATTGATAGATAACAACAAGTGTTGGAATATTTAATAAGTAAAACTACATTTGAGCTTTTCTTTTAATGGAAAAAGAAAGGACTCATAAGTCTTTTTATTAATGTTTTGCAAATTCTCCTGAATATTTTTTTTAAAAAAGCTCTTTACACTGACTGACCTGAGCTTGTTTCTGAATCAAATGATCGGTCAGCTGCCCAAGTCTCCGCTTGAGTTCAACCTCCACATGACTTGGATTTTCAATCTCCTTTCGGGTTGCTTCAATGCTTGTTTCAAGTGTCTTTGCCTGTAACAAAAACATACCATACCATATTATTATAAAAGCTGCAAAAATAGCAGCCTACTTTTATTATAGCATTTTTTTTCCTACAATCTACTTTTAAAACTCTTATCTAATTATAGCAGTGTTATCCACATGCAAACCGATTTTCACTGCTATAAATGTGATAAGACTTTTAGAAATATAATAATGAAAAGATATTGAAACTACAATGCTAGAATTTTTCAAGAAAAAAATAAAAGTAAAATGTTGTAATAGAAATTATAGTAGGATGCCATAACGCACATCAAATGAAAGTGGGTTACTATTTTCCACATTTAATCCTCTAACTAACATGCCACTCCATACAAACTGAAGTTTTTCATTTAAAAAAAAAACATGCTATATATAGCAATGTTATCCCAATACAAAGCAGTAGATTCTATACAGTATACAGTACAATGTCATTTGACTAGATTTTTCAAAGTACGATGCCTTACTAAAAGTAACTGAAAGCGCACTGTTAACAGAAATATATGGAAGTATGATGCTAAATAAATGAAAGTACGTTGCTATTAGAACATTTAGCCGTCACTCAAAATAGGCTTAATTAAATGCATGAAATAGAAATTAACTTTCATTTATTAGTTATCTTACTTCCATTTCTTTTATTTAAGCCATTGTACCTTGAAAATCTATCTATTTATAGCAATCTAAATACAAAGCAATTTTCACTGCTATAATCGGTATATATATATATATATATATATATATATATATATATATATATATATATTTCAAAGTACAACACCTTAATAAGAAAAATATTGCAAGTAGAATGTTGTAATAGTAAGAAATGAAAGTAGGATGCAATAATAAACATTTCACCTTCTCTTGCAGTTGTCCAACTTTATCCGTGACAAAAGCATGCTCTGCCTCCAATATCTCTTGTTCAAATTCAACTCCCCTTGATGCTATCACCTACACCAAAACAAAACTCACTTCACATTTCACAAGCCTAGGAAACTAAAGGAGATATTATGCAATTTCTACTTTCAGAAATACTTACTTTATTTCCACTCTTATGACTTCTCTTCTTTGATGTTAATTCTACATGAAAAAATAAGAAATCAACACGACTGGTGAGTCTAATGATTCATAAAAATAAGTGGAATTCAGCTCACTAGTCATAGATTTACAGAACAATGCACTCTTACCATTTTATTGATGTAGTGTTTTTTTATCATGGTCTATAGTTTTTATCCACTCCCAACCGTTTAAAAAATAAAAATTCTCGGTTACTCGGTTTGAAAAAGGGCAAACTACAATGTACTTTTACCAGCATAAGAAATAAATAATTAGCCACTGAACTATATTTTTATGATGATTACACTAAATGGTATTCAAAGTACATTGTGTTTCTTCATATTTAGCCTTGATATCAGAACTCAGAACTGGGTAGCCAAAAAAAATGTTTCTTTTAAGCACTCAAAAGCATATGATGATTTAATCACTACAAAAATAGTTAAGGGTGAAAATTGCTTTGTGTTTGGAGGATAATTGGGTGGATTTCTCAAACTAGAATGGTGTAATATGAAGAAACGAAAGTAGGATGCTATTATAACAAACAAATCAATGAACGTGCTATGCTAGTTCTACTTCTAGCATTTTTAAATTTCAAAAAAACGTCTAGATATGTACTTTGCTCATCTAACCTTATATTATTCCTCAAAAGATATCTCTACCTCTATGTGTTAAGCAGTTACTATTATTGTTTAAACTTGAGAAAAAAAAAATACTGAAAACCCCTTGCACTTTCACCGTCTTATCAATTTAGCCCTATAATCAAGGTAGGTTTTTCAAAGTATAACGTATTAATAAGAAAAAAAACATTTTAAACTACTATGCTGCAATACAATACACAAATTACAATAGATGAAAGATTATTTTACTTTAATTTAGGTTTCTTCTTAGTAATTAGAGGAAGCTGATATATTGTTTGATTTAACTGAATTAAGTTTTCTGTCTAGGTTGGAGATACTGTGTCAATATTTTATTAGTCTCACAACAGGGTGATTCAGAAAAATGTAAATGCATTACTTTTTTTCTTCTTCTTTTTTTTGGAATTGCTGAAAATTTTATAAGCATACCAGCGAGGCTCTAGAAGAAGAAGAAGAAAAAAAAAAAAAAAAAAAAAGGAAGCAAATTACATAAGATCCAACTGTAAATGCAGTTACCCTGAAATGCAGTCTCATCAACAGGGTGATTAAGAGTGATGTGAATTATTAATTTATTCCTAAAACTGAACAAAAAATTCAGTTAAGTATAAATGATTGTATGAAGGTGATTACATTTGTAAAGAAACACAAACAATAGCATTTTGATTATTATTATTCATGCATCTAAATTCAATTCTAACCCAAGGCCACTGAGTAATAGTGATGCATACAGAAGCACAACGTGCATAGTAGAAAGTGGGTTGAAGTATATAAAAGATAACTGAAATGAAAAGGTAGGTAGGTACCTTCATGAGTAGCCTCCTTCAACTCAATTTGTCTATCAAGCTCTGCTACCCGCTTAACCTAATCTTAGTAAATTCAGTTAAAAATCTTAATATTAAAGGAGTTACAATGGAAAATATCATTCAGATTTTCACAAGTCACAAATACAATAAGAAACTAGAAAAAGCAAAGAAATAACAAATGATGCCAATGCCTGACTGGGTGCCCATGCATGAAGATTTGCTGATGTTGATATATCATAGTATATATTTGGTCTCAAACAACATATGATACACAGGTTTTAGTCCATTGCTTCTAAGTTTGGTGCCTAAAGGCTAAAACTAAAAGTGTTGTTGGATAATCTTGTGCCTTGGGTGGAAATAACACAATCCATGCATCAGGATATCTAAATTGCTGATTATCATATATAATTACTGCCTAATCATCCACCAAATATATACATACATACACACTCGTAATCGTTAGTATTAAAGCATCCTTTTCCAGACATAGAATTATACTTGACAATCAATAGTATCTTATGTTAAACAACATTTTTACAAGATTTTATCTTCTTACGAAAATTTCAGCTTAGAAAGTAGTAGTAGCAGTGGTACTTGTAGTATCCAAATAAGAAAGGAACACATCTCCTATTGTCCTACTCCTACACATAAGCTTCTATGATATCGTATGCTGATATAAAAAGCATAGTAATAACAACAATTCAATTGGACAAAATTATTTCAATTTATAGGTGTGTTTCTTTTGTCACATTTATTAAAAAAGTAAAACCAATGAATAGTAATATACAATTCGGTTTAAAAAAAAAAAAAAAAAAAAGTATTTCTTCATGGCTTAAGATCTTATCTAGATCAAAAGGAAATAAAAGAAAGAAAGTAAGAAACACTGCTTTTTTGTTACTTGTATATTTCTTTGTGCTAGAAATCAGACAAACATGAGGATAAATTTGTTTTTAAGTAGAAACAACTTGGGGAAATGGATGAAAGTTGAAGCCAATCTAATATTAATTAAAATCTGCATACCTCTATTTCTAAACTCCATTGAGCACTTGCAAGTGACTTTGCAAGCTCAGCATTTGTAGTCTGCAAAATGAAAGACTATTTTATATACCTGCTGTGTCCAAATA